CCCCCAGCCCACCATGGTCCTTGGCTGGCCACTGCTTCTGGTGTTGGTCCTGTGTCCGGGTGCAACAGGCATCAAGGACTGTGTCTTCTGTGAGCTGACTGACTCCACTCAGTGCCCAGGCTCACACATGAGCTGTGGGGACGACGAGGATTGCTTCACAGGCCACGGAGTAGCCCAGGGCGTGGGGCCCATCATCAACAAAGGCTGCGTGCACTCCACCAGCTGTGGCCGTGAGGAGCCTGTCAGCTACATGGGCCTCACTTACAGCCTTACCACCACCTGCTGCTCTGGCCACCTTTGCAACGGGGGTGCTGGATCTGCCACAGGACCTGCCAGCCTGGTGCTGGGTCTGCAGCTGCTCCTGGGCCTGTTGCTGCTGCTTCAATACTGGCTGTGACCCACAGGAACTGCAGGGCCTGGGGCTGTGCCCTGGGGCCCCATCTCCATCCCTTCCCCCCATTAAATGGCCAGAGGTGCAGTCTACCTCTTGTGGCCCTGACTTCCTCCGTTCCAGGGCCCATGGGAGCCAGGCTGGCGAAGCCCCTGGCAGCCATTGTGTGGGGTGCGGCCTGTGACTCTCACTGCTTTGCTGTGCCCCATTGGTCCCAAGACGTGCATCTTTTCATTTTTCTCAGGTGCTTCTTTGTGTTGGCGTCACCTTAGAGTTTGTGAAATACGGTAAAAAACAATAATACCAGATGGGGTTTCAGAGCACTTTTTTTGTGGGGCAGGGATGCTTTTAGAGGCAGGGTGTCCTGTATCCCAGGATGGCCTCAAAGTTTCCACATAGCTGAGGTTGGCCTTGACCTCAGTGATCTTCCTTCTTTCGGTTGTTGCCACCACCTCTGGCTCTGGCACACTTATGCCATGTGTTGGGCGCTGCTCTGTCCTCTGGCAAAGCCAAGATTATAGTGATGCTCCAAAGCATCATGGTCTCAGGGCTGGAGAGTCTCAAAAGGTGAACAGGACCAGCAGTGTCAGCACTAAAGTGTGAACTTTCCAGAAATGCATGTCCCCACCAGTGGCCAGGTGGACATAGGCAGCTGTATTTCAGCAAGTCACAAGGCCTTCCTTACCCTCTGAGAACAGTGGTTCTTGGACAGCACCTCCTGCCCTGGGGCGCCTGGCTATGTCTGGAGTATTCTGTGATTGTCATGCTGAGAATGGGTAAGGGACACCACAGACATCTGCTGGGTGGAGGCTGGGCTGAGGCTCATGCACATTGAAGGGGACCCACAATAATCTGATCCCTGCCATTGCATTCTGAAGGGAGGAAACTGAGGCACAGAGAAAAGAGTAAAGTTGCCTGGAGTCACACTACTAGTGGCTAGTAGGGTAGGATCTGAATCCAGGACGTCTGGCAACCAGAGTACATGCCTCAATTTCCCAAGTTGGGGTTTACAAGGCTAGAGAGAGACATTTCAGGCCACTCAGCGGAAGCAGAGACAGCTCTGAGTGTTGTCTGTGGCAGGGCAGAGTCCCTCTCCAGGGAGAGCATAGGCCCATTTTAGAGATGAGCATGGAGCCAGATGAGCAGAGACCCAGAAAAGGGTGCTCCTCCCACAACCCCTCCCTACTGTCTGGGTGTGCTGAGGGAAGGCTGAGCACAGGGTGTCATGAGGGGACACACCTGTAGGATCCTGAGATGACCCTGTCACCGTCCAGCAGCAGGAACTTCTCCCGCACACGGCCGCTCACTTGCCGTCGCCTGCGGCTCTGGAAGGTGTGGCCTTGCACAGTCCGGATGTCCAGGTTCTGGAAAGAGCATGTCCCATGATCCCATGGATACTGAACCAGAATCCGCAGGGCCACTGATACTGAATCTTAGACTTGGAGATACCTAGCCTGGCTCAAGGATCCCTTTAGAACTGTCACCCCCTCCCCAGTGACAAGGGTTTTAGATTTTAGGGAATTCCAGTGACCTAGGAACCCATGGAAAAAGTCTCCTCTGAGGAATAGGGGTATTTAGATGCCTCTGGCCTGCCCCTACCTCAGTGGTCCAGGGGTTCACCCCTAGCTGCTGGGCTAGTGCCAAGAAGGCAGGCAGATGCTTGAGGTCAAGCAGCAAATAGACAGGTACCCAGCGACGTGTGGCAGCATCCACCATGTCTGTGAGCAGGTCAGGGTCGGTGAAGACATCCATGACTACAGCCACCAGCTAGGATGGGGAAAGTGGTAGACATGGGATGGGGAACCGTGGCACTGCAGGTAGGGTGCTGTGGAGACATATGCTTCAAAGGCCTGACTTCCATGAGATGCTCAGGGGCTGCAGGGAGACACCTACTCCAACTCTCTCCGGCATGAAGTGTGAGTCAGGCTGCCCTTTTAATAAACTCCAGTTTCCAACAGAACAGTTTTCAACCCCTGGTTGTCCCTTACAATGCCAAAAGTCCATAGCTCCAGATCAGGATTGGGTACTGGCAGTCAGGAAGGCTAGGCTACTAAGGCGTGCTGAGAGCTCAGCATTGCAGGCAGATGAGGTTATGGAGGAATCTGACTCATCAGCAAGGTCACTCAGTACAAAAAGCTTAAACCAAATTGTGCCTGTTTCCCTGTGCCCATTACTCTTGGAAGACTGTACATACAAACCCATGTAGACCATTTGGCACTGGACCAGGAAACCCCAAGGCCCAAGGTATGGGGCTTCCGGAGCCAGTGGGGAATCACCCCCAGGGATTTCCTGGAGGAAGCTAGGGGTCTCTAGTTTGGTATGAAAGGGGGTGACACAGTGGTCACAACTAGGCTCCAGGAGCAGACACCAGGTCTCAGTAAGAGGCCTCCAGGCCTGAAGGGAAAGGGATAAATCCTGGGCTCAAGGTCCATGGGTATAGCCTTGAAAGTTGCAGGAGGGTATGGGGGAAAGCCTCAGTACGGGTGATGGGGTTGACACCCACCTTGCAAGCAGCCTGGATCTCCTGGCGTACCAACTCTTTAATAGGTGGCTGGCCCTCGCCTGGTGGCTGGGTGTAGAGCTGAGCTCGGGTGATGCCCTTCCAGGCAGTATCCTTAGGCCAGCCCAGCCGCAGCAGGGGTGCTGGCTCCTCTGACTGCCCAGGCCAGTAGGTCACGCTGCCAGTATTCCCATCAGCAATAGCAGTCCCTGTGCCTGCTCCACATGGCTCCTGGCTTGGTACAGTCCAGTCTTCAGCAGTTGCAGCCAGGGCCTGAGCCTCATCTGCACTCAGAAATGGGGGCAACCTCTCCTGCTGCATGCAGGCCCGGAAGGCTTCTTCCCCACTGCTCAGCAGTGCTTCAAGAGCTAGCCGCTGGCCCTCAGAGTACAAGCAACCAGGGTTGGACTTGGTCAGGGCTGGCTCACCAGCCTCCAACCCCTCCCCTTCCAGTGCAGACAGCTGGGAGGCCGCCATTGGAGCCACAGAGTGCCTCAAGATGCCAGTTCCTGGAAGGGCTGTACAGCTCTTGGGATCTGACCATCTGGGGTCTTGTGATACTGTGTGGCCAGCCAGGGCCCCCAGGGTAGCCCTGTGAACATCTAGTTCCCTGAAGCTGTCCGATTCACAACCCCTACAGACTGTCCATACTCCTTACACCATCTATCTGATCACCTAATGGCCGGCCACCCGCCAGTCAGCCACCTCTCCCACTGTGGCACATTGAAGGGATGCCTCTACGGAACCACAGGACCACCTCCAACTTGGAGACATAGTGGCCTCTAGGTGACCCTTGGCAGTTTCAGGCCCATCAGGATGACCTGCCTGCCTTAAGTCTGGTTACTTGCCCAACCATTTCCAGGTAAATGGCTGTTTGCCTGTCCCTGGTATGCTGCTGCCAATGGCTCCAAGGCCTTCTTCACTGCCGTGAAATTCTAAGTCTCCCACAGGCTAATGAGCTACCTCCCAGTTAGGCCTGCCCTGGGGACCCAAGGAATCCATGGTCCTCCAGCCAGGCACTTGCCAGCCTCCTTCAGTGAAGACCTCAGGTTCAGGGTAAGGAGGTAGCATCTCTGCTGTGACCCCCAGGCCAACCTGAGCCTTAGGTAGACATGCTGCTTTCTGTTCTCTGACCCAAAGCCTAGCCTGGTATCTACCAGTCTCTGGGCTACACCCTACTTCCTGGACAGGAACCACACTCTTATCCCATGTACCTCTTGAGCCTGGAGCTAGTCCCAGCCAACTGGCACCTCGCAGCCAACAGGAAGAACTGGGATCTGGCCAGGTCTCCCCATCTGTAGACCCTCAAGCCGCTCTGGGTCAGACGCTGAGGACCAGTTTAGAAGCTGTCCTCTTTCACTGCAGCAGCTCTTATGGGCTTTCCACCCAACTGGGTGTTGGAGCTGGGGCACAGCCCCTTGTGCAAACACAGGGGGAGGGCCTACTGGGCACCTAGCTCAGGGACTGGCTATTGTCAACCAGCTTCCAGAGCAGCGGTGTTCCCACGCCTTCCCCCCCACCCCTAACATCTAGATCTTGGGAAAGATTAATCCTAGGAGGAAGCAGACACCGGATACCCAGCATAGGTGGGGCTCTAATCACAGGCAAAGGACTGCACAGGAACAAGGAGGCACACCAGCCCCTCCCCAGGGATGGATCTGAACTGACTGCATTCAAATGTTCTGCTACCACCGGTGGCTCTCAACCCATCCTGCCCCATCCCAACTTCATGAACACACAGGACCATCAACATCCAAAGCTTATTTTTTTTAATAACAGTAAGATCCAGGGTTAGTTTTTATAGCCGCGGCTGGCCCTTCTGCCTCTGGCACGTTCGAACTTCCGGCCCTTGGAGCGGACATAGGGTCTGTGGGAAAAAGATGTGGGTGAGAGATGGCCAGTTCACAGTGCCAATGGGGCATGTTTCTGTAACGCTAGGAAACCTCTGTGGGCTTTCACGGGGACCACCTGCCAGTCAGAGGTCGGCACAGAGGAAGTCCAGTTATGACCACCCGTTGTGGCTAAAAACTACCAGGAGACAAAGCCTGAGCTCTTAGCCTGATACTTACTTGGTATGGCTGTGTGGTGTTCCTGGGGCCTTGCCAAAATGCCGGTATACCTCTCGGCCCTTCCGAGGACCTGGCCAGGGAAGAAGAGGTTAAGTAGAGACCAGGAACTTTCTGACCTCAGGGAATGTTCCCCAAACCTAGGTGCTTCAATATAGCCCTCACTTACCAGACAAGAGCACAGTGCCACGGCCCTTGGGAGACTCCAGAGCTAACTGGTCAAACGTGAGGATCTTGCCTCCAGCCTTCAGGATTCGACTTCGGGCCCGGCTGCTCACCCGAAGAGCACACACCTAAGGGGCAGACACCAGGAGGGGTGGAAACTGTCACACGTCCTTAGATAGGGTGCCACTGCCACCCAGCAAAGCTTGAGTTTGGTTCATGCTGGTCGCTTACCTTCAGCTTGGGCACTTCGAGAATCCGCACATCATCTGTGACAGTCCCCACAACCACAGCTGTCTTGTTCTCTCGGCCAGGAAGCTTCATTTTTCGGATCTGAGAGTAAACAGGTTAAGTCATTGTGCATTCACGCCATCTTCCCCAACAATAACAAGTCTCTGAAAGCTGCATCAGAGGTCTGTGGGTTATCTTTACCTGCATTCTGCACTTAAACACAGGAACCTTGGAAGCCCCCTTCTCTAACCCCAGCAGTCAACCAAGCCAGAGAAACCCCCAGGTGGAAACGCTGAAGCACAGAGCTCTGTACCCTCTCCTGGCCTCAACAACCCACTCCAGATCCAGTTTCTCCCCGAGGCACTAACCATCCGGGACAGGGACAGAGGTGGCCGGTTAGTGCGACTCATAAACAACCTTTTCAGCACAACCTGATTGAAGGTGGAGTTGGTTCTTCTGGCCAGAAACCTGTACAGCTGGAGGAAGGAAAAGCATGATCATGTGAATGCTACCCCCCAAACGTCCAGAGAAGCCCTTCCCAAGCTAGGAAGTTCCCACAACTCTCCCACCTGCTGACCTCCTGACCCTACTCACCGTGGCTAGAGGCTTACCTTGACTAGCAGCCGCAGGTAGATGTCCTGGCTCTTAGGCTCCTTGCGCCGAACCTTTCGGTCCTTGTTGTGTCGAATGTCAACACCCTGTGGGAGGTGAAGGAAATACTATGGGGCCAGTTTCTTTCTTTCTTGAAGCAGGGTTTCTCTGTGGCTTTGGAGCCTGTCCTGAAACTAGCTCTTGTAGACCAGGCTGGCCTCAAACTCAGAGATCCGCCTGCCTCTGCCACCCGTAGTGTTGGGATTAAAGGCGTGCACCACCAACGCCCGACCTTACTTACTTTCCTACTGCTTTAACAAAACACCACGACCAAGGCAATTTTAAAGGTATTAAAAAGCCTTCGAAGGCGTGCGCCACCACCGCCCGGCCAGGTAAGATATTTTTGTCTGGGCCTGGTACTATTCCTTCCATAATCCTGAAACTCAGTGAAATCCTGCCTCGAAATAAAAACTAAGGCGTACAAGATACTCAGCTAGCTCAGTCTATCTTAGAGCAAAGGACCCTGCATTCTATGCCCAGTATGGGTGGGGGGTTTCACATCTTTCCAAGAATGTTACTTCTAAGAACAGGCCCAAATCTGAAAAACAGTCAGAAGGAGCCAAAAGTAGATTACAGACATGCAAATATCTTTAGGTTCGACAAAGTGAGACTCTTACACCATCCAATTCAAACATTCCCAGGAAAGCCAAAATGCTTGGGTTATTTTATCACCACTCATTTTCCAAACTGCTAGAATCCAAAAGAAGTTAGTGAAGCACTAACAGCACCACCTAACCTACACCTTCTCGAGTGTCTTCCCAACTCACAAGGCGTGGACGGGATTACTAT